GTTGCACGCACTTACCACTCGGGCACACAGCTCTTCACTAGGAGAGTGCATTGTTAGTTTTTTTGTCCTTCCCCAACACCTCCGATTAGTAAGGTTGGCTACGTACGGTGCAAAAGAAGTTCAACATACACACGTAACGGGTGTGGTGCATAGGAGCGGTGGCGCAGTGGCTCACGCAATGAGTCAGGAACCTGACAACCTCAGTTTGATTCCCATTAACAGCTACAGTCAGCAGCGAGTGATATCTGAACAGGACCTGGGCACCCACCTTCACAAACCCGTGCTGACCAGAGTGGTGAAGTATGGTCAAACAACTACCGTGATAGACTAGGCGTGAGAAGTCATTCGTCTAGCAATAGATTGTGAAAGGGTGGTAAAGTTTTACTATTTTATTGAACAGAGACAGGTATGCATTTGGTGCAGTGTATAATAAAATAATAACCACAATTAGTAGCAACGTTATTTCATTTTCCACGAAAGACTGACTCAATTTCAGGGACTGACTTTCAGGAGATCACCCTGGGATGTTTGACCATTGGTGAGAGTTTGGCTTTTGTGTGGGAGGAAAACCAGAGAGTGTGTACTGGTGAGTACAACTCCAAGGTCTAAACGAACAGTTGCACGAGCCCACTTGCTGTACTGTCATCCCCTGGCCACCATGCAGCCCAGGGGGAAGTTTTGATGCACAAATCTACGTGACCCAATAAGCCTTTCCTCGAAATTGCTGACTCACAGGCATGCACCACCACTTCTGGCTGAGCTGCTCTCGTTCCGTATTGCTTCATACCTGTCGAACACTGCCGGTGGCATTCCCATTGTGCCATGGCTCAGTGTTACCAATTTCCCCAACCTGCGCCAAATCTCGATGAATATCGGAAGCTGAGCAGCTTTGACCTTGGTTGGTTAGTCAGCTGCGTGTGACCACCGGGGCCTCCCCGGTGATTGAAGAGTGTGAACTACCGGGAGTGGCCCAGAGATGGCAGTGCTGAGTGTCACCACCAACCCCGATGCGTGGTGGGGGTTTTCGCATCCGGGTTGTCCCGGTTTCCTCCCGCACAAAGTCACTTCATTCATGGAATTGGCCAAAGATGACGATGCGACCAACGCAGGAACCTCCTGAAATTGAGAGCAAGTGAGGCCCTAATGGGTGAAGAACTTTGCACGCCGCGCAGGTCGTGGCAGTGATTCCGCTATATTTCACCATGGTTCTCAGGGCCAGTTGAAGGTGGGGAGCATAGACATGAGAGCTACACTGCCCTATGATGCCTGTTGTGCCTGGGATGGTTACCCGTCATAGCACTAACAAGATTCAACCCTGGTATGGGACCGGGTGCATTTCTGATTATTTGGTCAATGGCTGACTCTACTATGCTTGTATTTGTACCGCATATCCGCTCTGACCCGTCCAGAACGTGATTGTAATTTACACAAGTATCTCTGTCACAAGTTTTGGCCGGAAGGAGTCCGGAATGCTGTTCCGGGAATTAATGTTGGTATGACACACCCATCTCGCCTTATTTTGTCCTCATTGCACCTTCTATTCCCATCAACCTGTCCATCGGATTATAGAAATATGGGGTAAAATAAATAAAATTATTATTATGGATAGGCGTACCTTGTACCGTTGTGGTAGGGAGTGCCATGCCAATAATCCCTACTCTAAGCCAGCCTAGCAGTGTTCTGTAAAACACACCGAGTGAGAAATTAAGCCCTGTCTATATGTATTGTGTACCGTATGTACGCACATTTAATAAGCAGAATAACAGAGTAGAATTTGTCTCACATTGGCAAGAATCGGTGTCTGGTGGGAGCGGTCCCATGGGCGAGGAGAGAAGGCAGACTTTGGAGCGGGAGTTGGAACATGCCAGCCACAAAAATAAACTCACAGGAACGCAAGCGGCTCACGCACACACACGTGGGGCACTGTGTGCGTGTGTCTACGGCCAAATCACTCAGCAGGAATGTGCCCGATCTCATCGGATCTCAGAAGCTGAAGGATTTTTCGAGGCTGGTTGGTTCTTGGGGTTGGGTGACCTCCGGCAAGCAGGGCTTGCCACGCGTTGTAGGCGACGAGGGCTGTGAGGTGGTGGGGGGGCCAGGTGAGTGTCACCCACCTCGTATGCGTGGTGGGGGGGGGGGTCTTCTCCTGGTGTTCGGGTTTCCTCGCCCACTAAGTCAGGCATTGGCCAAAACATGGCAATGCAGAGCCCTCCGATAAAAAAAACGTCTTAGACTCAGGACTTTTGATGTAAAGCTTCCGTGACTGCAGTGATTCATATTCTTGGTTCCTCTTTCGTGACTTTACCGAAAGAACCAAGAATATATATACTCAGGAATTTCATAAGTAAACAATTACCATTATTTATTCGTGTCTAAATGAAACGTCGTCATGTCTGTATATATCAACATTCTGAGTGACTTCCTGCTCCAATAACCATTGCGTCAGTGCTCATCTCCTCTGGAAAATTCCACGTTCTTATGGCACGGGCGAGTCCATCCATAGGACAACCACTATTGCCTTCCCCACAAGGGGCACTTCTCCATTTTCCTCATTTACAGTTGCATTCCCCATGGTTTGCTGTCAGTTGCAAATCGCATTTGTGAACACGAAACTGTCGTGTACTGTGTACAGCCGTTTGCTAATCCACTGCTGGATGAGGGCCTATCCTGCGAGTCCTGTACGCGTTATTCGATCATACTTCGCCACTTCGCCACGCTGGTCAGTTCTAGTTGGCGAAGGTAGAGGGCATAGACGTGGCAGCAGAGTATAGTACAGTGGTTCTTAACCTTGACTGCAGCCTTGCAACCCTTTGGCTCTCAATCGTTAAAACGATTATAATGTTATAATAAATACATTAGGGTTTGAAGAAAAAAAGTAAGTTCTACTCACGTGCCCCCCGTGCTTAATCGGTGTTTCGATGATTCACCTTCTAAAAAGAAATCTGGCCACGTCTCGCACCCCCAGAAAGGGCATCACGCACCCCCAGTGGGTGCGTGCACCCCAGGTCTTGAAGAACCACCGGTATAGTGCAACAACGGAATGTTTATGATCTGGCCTCTGATGCTCACAACGTATTCCCGCAGAAGACTATAACAGCCGTTTTATAATGATGTACGGTGGGCACCCATCAAAACACCATCGATGGTCAAAGCAGCTTCAGCTTCCTGGTGATTTGGTCACAGGCTCAGGTGCAATGATGCGAAACATTTACCGGGAGGCTCCTGCGTTGCGATATTTGAACGACACGTGGGTAAAACCCCGTCGCGGTTGACACTCAGCACTTCCTCGTGGTGGCCACCGATTCAAAGAGACGAACAGCCTCAACTCTGTGCAGCGTGAGATATGCGACAAGTTCGGACGCATTTGTCAGGGTAATTTGCTCGTAGGCAACAGACTTTGTGGGGAAAGTGCTGTGAGCGAGTAGCACCTATGAAGGCCTGCACGGCACACGAGGGAGTGGGGTGGTTAGCACCACGCCCCATGTTTAAACATAGCACCAGGAACTTATTTTAGACTGAGTCGATCTAGGAGAGGCCCGGGACCGGTTCAGATAATCGTCACTGATGTTGGCCGTGAGCGGGAATCGAAATCGGGTCACCGTGTTCGCATACCTGTCAACCCATACGGTTTATCCGTATTCTTGTACAGGGGAGCTGAGTTTTCAGGTCCATACTGCGTACAGCCGTTTCAATGCTGGAAATAACAAACATGTGTTTGTCTGTGTGTTTGTGTTTCTCCCTTATGATGGGACTTTGTAGGATGAACGTTGAGATTTATAAGGGCACGGGGTGACTAATAAGGTGTGAATTGGTCTGTAATCAAGTAGGACACTGATAACGAGTTTACAGCTTTGTTGTTCGTAGCGCAGCGCGCTAACCACTGCGCCTCCGCTCTCCCCGATACAGAGACAATACACGCGCACTCAAACACAACATCGCTTCATCGGCTCGTGTGAGTGGCAGTGTTCCATCAAACTTAATTCCTCAGTAAGACGAGCTCCATTGACATGACGCTTCACTGCTGCATTCATCTATTTTGTTTGAGCGTCTTAATAAACACCACAAATGTTCGCAGCTTTCAGTGCCAAAGACGTCTCAACGGACGCAGTGTGAATTGGAACCCCACGCGTGTCTCAATTCGCGTGACTTTGAAGTCTCAAAGACTTTGCCCTAAGTGGTTGAGGGTTAGGCAATGATGAATCCCCATCGTACAGTCGCTTCTTAAGGGTGCAGTGATATTTATTTTAAAGTGCCTATTCTAATCGAAGATAACATAGACAAATAAACCGCCCGTAGTGTTTTAAAATGCTATTTTTTCTTTGTGTGCGAGTGCTGTTTTTGCGAGAACCTCTTAAAGGTTGCTACGGGGCACGAAGGGTAGATGGTGACCAGAACCACGCCTTGCCGCTCATTGTCTTCTCCCGAGTGGGGATGTTCACACACACCACACCAGGTACTCATTTTAGGCTGAGTCGACCTAGGGGAGGCCCAGTACCGGTTCAGATAATCGTCACTGTGGTGTTGGCCGTGAGCGGGAATCGAACCCGGGTCGCCGGGTTCATAGCGCAGCGCGCTAACCGCTACACTACCGCCCCCCAAACACACACACGGAGACACACACACGTGCACTTACACATGCATCGCACAACTTTATAGACTGTTGGGTCCAAGTTCTGTTAGCGAACGCCTACCGATTGGGCCAACACACGCAATACGAGCTAATAGACACACACACATACACACACACACAAAGCTAAGATCCCACTCATAGACTGTTGGGGGAAAGTGCTTTAAGTGAGCAGCTATATAAGGCTAACACAACGAGAGAACCGACATCACGGCCTTATATAGACTTCAGGGGAGCGTGCTGTTAGGGAGCACCTATTAAGGCAAACAACACAAACTCCCGCGGCACACTGTCTGCACATCGCAGAGCGGCCCCGAACCCGCGCCCCCTGTCCACCACAGTTCGCGTCCCACGCCGAGCCACCGGTCCGTACCTTGGACACCACGAGGGGACTCTGCACCTCACGGCCCCCGCTGAGTCTGAATCCCCAGGGTGGCCCCCCACTCAGCCGAAGCAGCAACCGCTCCTCCATTCCCGTGCCAGCGGCGATCATCTCTCACGCTCGCCCCGACCACCACCACCAGCCAGCAGCAGCAGCAGCAAACAGCAGCACCGGCACCCCTTGAACGTGTCCGTAGCGAGAGAGGCACCGCGTTCACGCCGCCAGCTCCACCGCCCCAACCCTCACGCAGCACCACGCGGGCAAATTGGACTCGTACTGTCAATGGAACCAAGGGCTCCTTTATGATGCTGATGCTGCTGCTGCTGCTATGCCACCGCAACGAGTCGAGTCTCGATCATTCCCCTACACCTGCAGCAGCGCGAGTGAGTGAGTTCATGCGCCTATCCTTAGCCTCTCTGACCGCAGCGGGGGTCCGGAGGGGTAGGGTTAGGGTGTTGCTCGGGGAAGGGGTGTGTGTGTGTCTTTGGCGGGGGTGGTGACTTGGTGGTGGTGGTGGTGGTAGTGGTGGTGCGGGGAAGGGATTTAAGTGGGTGTCGGCGCTTTGTGAGTTTTGGGAGTGACGCGCGCGGCGTGGGGAGAGAGAGGGCGGGACGGACGGAGCGCTGGGGACCCGGGTAGGATGAGGGTAGGGTTAGTGTCGGAGTTGGGTTAGGGTAGGGTTAGTGTAGGAGTTGGGTTAGGGTAGGGTTAGTGTAGGAGTTGTGTTAGGGTAGGGTTAGTGTAGGAGTTGGGTTGTGTTAGGGTAGGGTTAGTGTCGGAGTTGGGTTGGGTTAGGGTAGGGTTAGTGTCGGAGTTGGGTTAGGGTAGGGTTAGTGTCGGAGTTGTGTTAGGGTAGGGTTAGTGTCGGAGTTGTGTTAGGGTAGGGTTAGTGTCGTAGTTGTGTTAGGGTAGGGTTAGTGTCGTAGTTGTGTTAGGGTAGGGTTAGTGTCGGAGTTGTGTTAGGGTAGGGTTAGTGTAGGAGTTGGGTTGGGTTAGGGTAGGGTTAGTGTAGGAGTTGGGTTAGGGTAGGGTTAGTGTCGGAGTTGTGTTAGGGTAGGGTTAGTGTCGGAGTTGTGTTAGGGTAGGGTTAGTGTCGTAGTTGTGTTAGGGTAGGGTTAGTGTCGTAGTTGTGTTAGGGTAGGGTTAGTGTCGGAGTTGTGTTAGGGTAGGGTTAGTGTCGGAGTTGTGTTAGGGTAGGGTTAGTGTAGGAGTTGGGTTAGGGTAGGGTTAGTGTCGGAGTTGTGTTAGGGTAGGGTTAGTGTCGGAGTTGTGTTAGGGTAGGGTTAGTGTCGTAGTTGTGTTAGGGTAGGGTTAGTGTCGTAGTTGTGTTAGGGTAGGGTTAGTGTCGGAGTTGTGTTAGGGTAGGGTTAGTGTAGGAGTTGGGTTAGGGTAGGGTTAGTGTCGGAGTTGTGTTAGGGTAGGGTTAGTGTAGGAGTTGGGTTGGGGTAGGGTAGGGTTAGTGTCGGAGTTGGGTTGGGTTAGGGTAGGGTTAGTGTCGGAGTTGGGTTGGGGTAGGGTAGGGTTAGTGTCGGAGTTGGGTTGGGGTAGGGTAGGGTTAGTGTCGGAGTTGGGTTGGGGTAGGGTTAGGTTAGTGTAGGAGTTGTGTTAGGGTAGGGTTAGTGTCGGAGTTGGGTTGGGGTAGGGTTAGGTTAGTGTAGGAGTTGTGTTAGGGTAGGGTTAGTGTCGGAGTTGGGTTGGGGTAGGGTAGGGTTAGTGTCGGAGTTGGGTTGGGGTAGGGTAGGGTTAGTGTCGGAGTTGGGTTGGGTTAGGGTAGGGTTAGTGTCGGAGTTGGGTTGGGGTAGGGTTAGGTTAGTGTAGGAGTTGTGTTAGGGTAGGGTTAGTGTCGGAGTTGGGTTGGGGTAGGGTAGGGTTAGTGTCGGAGTTGGGTTGGGTTAGGGTAGGGTTAGTGTCGGAGTTGGGTTGGGGTAGGGTAGGGTTAGTGTCGGAGTTGTGTTGGGGTAGGGTTAGTGTCGGAGTTGTGTTAGGGTAGGGTTAGTGTAGGAGTTGTGTTAGGGTAGGGTTAGTGTCGGAGTTGGGTTGGGGTAGGGTAGGGTTAGTGTCGGAGTTGGGTTGGGTTAGGGTAGGGTTAGTGTCGGAGTTGGGTTGGGGTAGGGTAGGGTTAGTGTAGGAGTTGTGTTGGGGTAGGGTTAGTGTCGGAGTTGTGTTAGGGTAGGGTTAGTGTAGGAGTTGTGTTAGGGTAGGGTTAGTGTCGGAGTTCGGTTGGGGTAGGGTAGGGTTAGTGTCGGAGTTGGGTTGGGTTAGGGTAGGGTTAGTGTCGGAGTTGGGTTGGGGTAGGGTAGGGTTAGTGTCGGAGTTGTGTTGGGGTAGGGTTAGTGTCGGAGTTGTGTTAGGGTAGGGTTAGTGTCGGAGTTGTGTTAGGGTAGGGTTAGTGTAGGAGTTGTGTTAGGGTAGGGTTAGTGTCGGAGTTGTGTTAGGGTAGGGTTAGTGTAGGAGTTGGGTTGGGGTAGGGTAGGGTTAGTGTCGGAGTTGTGTTAGGGTAGGGTTAGTGTAGGAGTTGGGTTGGGTTAGGGTAGGGTTAGGTTAGTGTCGGAGTTGTGTTAGGGTAGGGTTAGTGTAGGAGTTGGGTTGGGTTAGGGTAGGGTTAGTGTCGTAGTTGGGTTGTGTTAGGGTAGGGTTAGTGTCGGAGTTGTGTTAGGGTAGGGTTAGTGTCGGAGTTGTGTTAGGTTAGGGTAGGGTTAGTGTCGGAGTTGTGTTAGGGTAGGGTTAGTGTCGGAGTTGTGTTAGGTTAGGGTAGGGTTAGTGTCGGAGTTGTGTTAGGTTAGGGTAGGGTTAGTGTCGGAGTTGTGTTAGGGTAGGGTTAGGTTAGTGTCGGAGTTGGGTTGGGGTAGGGTAGGGTTAGTGTCGGAGTTGGGTTGGGTTAGGGTAGGGTTAGTGTCGGAGTTGTGTTAGGGTAGGGTTAGTGTCGTAGTTGGGTTGGGTTAGGGTAGGGTTAGTGTCGGAGTTGTGTTAGGGTAGGGTTAGTGTCGGAGTTGGGTTGGGTTAGGGTAGGGTTAGTGTCGGAGTTGGGTTGGATTAGGGTTAGTGTAGGAGTTGGGTTGGGTTAGGGTAGGGTTAGTGTCGTAGTTGTGTTAGGGTAGGGTTAGTGTCGGAGTTGGGTTGGGTTAGGGTAGGGTTAGTGTCGGAGTTGGGTTGGGTTAGGGTAGGGTTAGTGTCGGAGTTGGGTTGGGTTAGGGTAGGGTTAGTGTCGGAGTTGTGTTAGGGTAGGGTTAGTGTCGGAGTTGGGTTGGGTTAGGGTAGGGTTAGTGTCGGAGTTGGGTTGGGTTAGGGTAGGGTTAGTGTCGGAGTTGGGTTGGGTTAGGGTAGGGTTAGTGTCGGAGTTGGGTTGGGTTAGGGTAGGGTTAGTGTCGGAGTTGTGTTAGGGTAGGGTTAGTGTCGTAGTTGGGTTGGGTTAGGGTAGGGTTAGTGTCGGAGTTGGGTTGGGTTAGGGTAGGGTTAGTGTCGGAGTTGTGTTAGGGTAGGGTAGGGTTAGTGTAGGAGTTGGGTTGGGTTAGGGTAGGGTTAGTGTAGGAGTTGGGTTAGGGTAGGGTTAGTGTCGTAGTTGGGTTGGGTTAGGGTAGGGTTAGTGTCGGAGTTGGGTTAGGGTAGGGTTAGTGTCGGAGTTGGGTTGGGGTAGGGTTAGTGTAGGAGTTGGGTTGGGTTAGTGTAGGAGTTGGGTTAGGGTAGGGTTAGGTTAGTGTCAGAGTTGGGTTAGGGTAGGGTTAGTGTAGGAGTTGGGTTGGGTTAGGGTAGGGTTAGTGTAGGAGTTGGGTTGGGTTAGGGTAGGGTTAGTGTAGGAGTTGGGTTGGGTTAGGGTAGGGTTAGTGTAGGAGTTGTGTTAGGGTAGGGTTAGTGTAGGAGTTGTGTTAGGTAGGGTTAGTGTAGGAGTTGTGTTAGGGTAGGGTTAGTGTCGTAGTTGGGTTGTGTTAGGGTAGGGTTAGTGTCGGAGTTGTGTTGGGTTAGGGTAGGGTTAGTGTAGGAGTTGTGTTAGGGTAGGGTTAGTGTCGGAGTTGGGTTGGGTTAGGGTAGGGTTAGTGTCGGAGTTGGGTTGGGTTAGGGTAGGGTTAGTGTCGGAGTTGGGTTGGGTTAGGGTAAGGTTAGTGTCGGAGTTGTGTTAGGGTAGGGTTAGTGTAGGAGTTGGGTTGGGTTAGGGTTAGTGTCGGAGTTGGGTTGGGTTAGGGTAGGGTTAGTGTCGGAGTTGGGTTCGGTTAGGGTAGGGTTAGTGTCGGAGTTGTGTTAGGGTAGGGTTAGTGTAGGAGTTGGGTTGGGTTAGGGTTAGTGTCGGAGTTGGGTTGGGTTAGGGTAGGGTTAGTGTCGGAGTTGGGTTGGGTTAGGGTAGGGTTAGTGTCGGAGTTGTGTTAGGGTAGGGTTAGTGTAGGAGTTGGGTTGGGTTAGTGTAGGGTTAGTGTCGTAGTTGGGTTGGGTTAGGGTAGGAGTTGGGTTGGGTTAGGGTAGGGTTAGTGTCGTAGTTGGGTTGGGTTAGGGTAGGGTTAGTGTCGGAGTTGGGTTGGGTTAGGGTAGGGTTAGTGTCGGAGTTGTGTTAGGGTAGGGTTAGTGTCGTAGTTGGGTTGTGTTAGGGTAGGGTTAGTGTCGGAGTTGGGTTGGGTTAGGGTAGGGTTAGTGTCGGAGTTGTGTTAGGGTAGGGTAGGGTTAGTGTAGGAGTTGGGTTGGGTTAGGGTATGGGTTAGTGTAGGAGTTGGGTTAGGGTAGGGTTAGTGTCGGAGTTGTGTTAGGGTAGGGTTAGTGTCGTAGTTGGGTTGGGTTAGGGTAGGGTTAGTGTCGGAGTTGTGTTAGGGTAGGGTTAGTGTCGGAGTTGGGTTGGGTTAGGGTAGGGTTAGTGTCGGAGTTGGGTTGGGTTAGGGTTAGTGTAGGAGTTGGGTTGGGTTAGGGTAGGGTTAGTGTCGTAGTTGTGTTAGGGTAGGGTTAGTGTCGGAGTTGGGTTGGGTTAGGGTAGGGTTAGTGTCGGAGTTGGGTTGGGTTAGGGTAGGGTTAGTGTCGGAGTTGGGTTGGGTTAGGGTAGGGTTAGTGTCGGAGTTGTGTTAGGGTAGGGTTAGTGTCGGAGTTGGGTTGGGTTAGGGTAGGGTTAGTGTCGGAGTTGGGTTGGGTTAGGGTAGGGTTAGTGTCGGAGTTGGGTTGGGTTAGGGTAGGGTTAGTGTCGGAGTTGGGTTGGGTTAGGGTAGGGTTAGTGTCGGAGTTGTGTTAGGGTAGGGTTAGTGTCGTAGTTGGGTTGTGTTAGGGTAGGGTTAGTGTCGGAGTTGTGTTGGGTTAGGGTAGGGTTAGTGTCGGAGTTGTGTTAGGGTAGGGTAGGGTTAGTGTAGGAGTTGGGTTGGGTTAGGGTAGGGTTAGTGTAGGAGTTGGGTTAGGGTAGGGTTAGTGTCGGAGTTGGGTTGGGTTAGGGTAGGGTTAGTGTCGGAGTTGGGTTAGGGTAGGGTTAGTGTCGGAGTTGGGTTGGGGTAGGGTTAGTGTAGGAGTTGGGTTGGGTTAGTGTAGGAGTTGGGTTAGGGTAGGGTTAGGTTAGTGTCAGAGTTGGGTTAGGGTAGGGTTAGTGTAGGAGTTGGGTTGGGTTAGGGTTAGGGTTAGTGTAGGAGTTGGGTTGGGTTAGGGTAGGG